GGCCTCAACGCTTCAAAGACTTGGAAAAGACGCACCGCGCACTCAATCTCGTCTTTACGTTTTGCTGTACTCGGAAACACCTTGCCACCACGTTTGAGACGATCAAGTCCTCGGTGGAATCGCACACAAAGACGTCCCTGACGGTCGAGGATATAGCTGCCATCGCCGCTATACGCCCCGAGGGCGTCAACTTTGCCTATGTCGATGAGATTATGCTGCAGACCGAGGTCAGGGGCGCCGAGCGCGACGTGGTGTTCAAGAAGGGACGGGATTTCCTCTCCCAGGCTCCTGCACCTGATGCCTCTGTCGGAGGCATCTCGGGTCTCGAGAAGCTGGATCACCACCCCGATGAGGCTGTCGAGCCAGGCAAGGAGGTTCTGTATTTTGAGTTTGTGGACGGCGATCTGAAACGGCAGGTTAAGGATAGGAAGACGGGGGAGATTATCAAGCCGAACAGGAAGCTGAGAGAGGAGACTCTCAAGATGCCCGTCTACAGCCAGAAGCAGATGACGAATCTGATCGAGCGGCGGAATCAAAGGTTCAACGAAGCCATTGTCCATTTTCTCAATCAATGCGTCGCCGATGGGCTTGATCCAGAGCTGAGTCTGGCAACGGCAACCGAGGCTCATATTCCTGTGCCGACAATCACGGAGGAGACGGAGCCCAAGGACCTCGGGGCTTTACCCGAATCTATCCCAACGGAGCGTAAAGGCGTCCCGGAGATTGTCCAGGAGCTGAAAGATTGCTCTTGGTACACTGGACAGATTGTGCCCGACGGACACCGCGTCTTCGAGCCGCAGGAACCTGTCTACGGCGATCTCAACTTTCTTCTCAGCCAGGACCTCGTGAATGCTCTATACAACGCAAAAGGCATCACGCAATTCTTCGCGCATCAGACCGAGGCCATCAATGGTTTGCTCGAAGGGCAGCACGTCGTCGTGGCCACGTCGACGAGTTCCGGCAAGTCGCTGATTTACCAGCTGCCTGTGATTCACGCCTTGGAAGAGAATCCGCACACGCGCGCCATGTACATTTTCCCAACGAAAGCCTTGGCGCAAGATCAAAAGCGGAGTTTGAGGGAACTGATGAGCTATATGCCAGGCATGGAGGAAGTGCTCGTGGAGACGTTTGATGGAGATACCCCGATGAAGGAACGCAATGTGATTCGGGAAGAGGCGAGGATCATCTTCACAAACCCAGACATGTTGCATATCACCATCTTGCCACAAGAAGAGAGATGGAGGACGTTTCTGAAGAACCTCAAGTACGTTGTCGTTGATGAGCTGCACTACTACAATGGGCAGATGGGTTCCCACGTGGCCTTTATCATGAGGAGGCTGCGAAGAATATGCGCTGCCGTTGGAAACCGCCACATCAAGTTTATTTCATGTTCTGCGACGGTAGCCAATCCAAGGCAGCATTTTAAGACGATCTTTGGCATAGAGAATGTGCGGCTCGTCGACTTTGACGGCTCCCCCTCCGGTACGTTTCTACCCTGCTTCCCTCTTCACTTTGCAAAGACTGACTTGCAACAGGCCGCAAAGAGTTTCTCTGCTGGAACACGCCGTACAAGGACCCCGGAGACCCGGCCAGCGGGCGAGGCGACGCCCTGTTTGAGTGTGCTCGCCTCTTCTGCCAGCTCATGCTCAGGGGCGTGCGCATCATCGCCTTCACCAGAGTCAGAGAGCAGTGCGAGAAGCTGGTCACCGCGGTGCAGCAGGAATTGGAATCTCTCGGGCGGCCAGAGTGCGTCAACAGAGTCATGGGCTACAGAGGCGGCTACACGGCACAAGACCGACGGCGGATCGAGTCAGAAATGTTTGAGGGCAAGCTCCTCGGCATCGTCGCGACCACTGCCTTGGAGCTCGGCATCGACATTGGCACGCTGGATTGTGTGCTGACCTGGGGATTTCCCTATACCATTGCCAACTTGCGCCAACAGAGCGGCCGTGCCGGGCGAAGAAACAAGGATTCGCTGTCAGTGCTGGTGGGCGACTGTTTTCCCACTGATCAACATTACATGCAGAACCCGGACGAGATCTTTTCCAAGCCGAATTGTGAGCTGCAGGTCGATCTGGAGAACATGCTGGTGCGGGAAGGACACATTCAGTGTGCTGCGTATGAGATGCCCATTCGGCCGGTGGAGGATGCTCAGTACTTTGGCAAGGATTTGCCCATCATCTGCGAGGAGAGGCTGGTAAAGGATCCTTTGGGCTTTTATCACTGTCACGATCGGTTCCGCCCCATCCCTTCGAGGTTCGTCGCCATCCGTGATACCGAAGACGATCACTTTGCCATCATTGATATCACGCACGGTAAGAACGAAGTTTTGGAGGAGCTAGAGGCATCGAGGGCAACGTTCACGATATACGACGGCGCGATTTTCCTCCATCAGGGTAACAAGTACCTAGTCAGGGATTTCCAACCTGAAAAGATGATGGCGAGGGTGGAGCGTGTCAAGGTCGAGTGGACCACGACGCAACGAGACTTCACCGACATTGACCCGATCGAGACGGAAGCCATTCGCAAGATCTCCGGGTCCATGTCCAGAGCCTTTTACGGCACGATCAAGATCCAGCAAAACGTGTACGGGTTCTTCAAGGTGGACAAGAAGAAGCGCGTGCTCGACGCCGTACACGTCGACAACCCGCCCGTCATCCGGTACGGCAAGGGCATGTGGCTCGACATACCCAAAAAGGCGCTGCAGATCCTCGTCGACCGGCGCCTGAACATCGCCGCGTCAATACACGCGGCCGAGCACGCCATACTCAGCCTGATGCCCAACTTTGTCATCAGTCTACCGGGCGACGTCCGCACCGAGTGCAAAATCGCCCTAAAAGAGTTTGCCAAAAAGGATTCCCAGAGGAAGAGGCCGGGCCGGCTGACGTTTTACGATGCCAAAGGCGGTGCTAGCGGGTCGGGCATCAGCACAAAGGCATTTGAGCACGTCGACCACCTGCTGCAGCAGGCCGTCAAGAGGGTCGAGGACTGCTACTGCGAGCACGGGTGCCGGGAGTGCGTCGCGTCGGACCAGTGTAAGCAGGCGAACGAGGTGATGAGTAAAGCGGGGAGTCAGGTCATCTTGAAGACGTTGCTGAATAGGGAGATTGATATCGATGCGCTGCCGATGGGGCCTGAGGAGTATTGTCCTGCGGGGATCGAGACTGTTGTCGTGGCGCAGACTGTGCCGGCCAAGGATGGGGGCAAGGTGAGGGTGGTTGAGATTAAGGAGGAGGAGTTTGATGAGAGGGATACGGTTCTGTTGGAGGAGGCTGAGGTGTGGACTGGGCGGGAGGATGAGGCCGAGGAGGGACTGGAAGATGAAGAGTCGTGATGGCTTGTAGTGATATTGGCACCAGTCATCCTGTGTTCTCGCAGTACCTTGCCTTTGAAGGAATTAGATAGAGCTACGGCAATTATCAGGCCATTACATTCCCATGTCTATCTGCGTACTCTCGTGAAATAACCCCATCAGCTTGTTCTGTTGTGTCGATTATAGGGGTTAGGTGGCTGAATGATTGAAGCTAACGGCTCAGGGGTAGTTTGCTCGTAACTAAAAGCTAGAGAGTGGATGACGCTTCTCTTTCTTCTTTCCTCGTTTCTGGCGTTTCGCTCTAATCGTAGTTTTCCCTCTTGTTACCTTACGCCAAGGTTCTTGGAAAGGTGAATACTACATATGGCAGAGGGGGCGTAGCTAATGCCTCGCGATTCTCGACGGACGGAATGAATGTTGATTTTCTTCTGGTTCTTGAAGTAATATCATATATAATATCGTCCCACCCCGTCTAACTGAATGGCAAATGATGGCGAGTGATGATTATCAGGATAAGTACGTCAGGTCCTAGAATTGATCTCATCCCCGTTCTAGGAGTCCTTTCTCGCGGAAGGGCCGACGTCAGGAGAGAAGCCAAGCCATCTGATTCTGAGAACCAACTTGACAGCGAAGGTTTGAAGCCAAGTAGGTACATTGAATAAGGGGGAGCGAGCAAGAACATGCTCACACCTCTTTCTGTCTGCCTGGAACAATACATTCTCGGCCAGTCGAGTTCCATCTGGAACGTCAGCACAAGTTGAGTTGATCTGTCAACTTTGGTACCTCGACTGTCCTCCGGGCATGTGGTTATCTGGATCTTTCTATAGATGCCATCATCTAAAGTAAATCCCAAGTATCTACCTCATCAGACATTTCAACCAAAAAGTAAAGGAGGTGAAAAATGAACGGACCGATCGAGGATGCTAATGATCATAGCCTTGATGTAAACCAGAGCTTTCATGATCTAGTCAATGAGTCGAGGTCATCTATCCCTCAATCATTAAGCCCCATCGTGCTACTCGGGGACATTAAACTGATCATGAGGTGAAACGAGGTCAGGTAGGCAGCATAAGGTGAGAAGGGGACCCAATCATGAGGGTATACTCAAGTTGCTATCGTGAATACACATCTACTCACCTCACCCCATCGCTCCTTCCCACGGGCGGTGCCGTCGTTCCTTCTCTCCTTCCCTTGACTGCCTACGGACCGCCTCTTGACCGCCTACAATCGCCCACGAACCGCCCTTTTTCGATTCCTCCTTTCTTGTCCTTATAAAAACCCCCTTCTCATCCTCTTCTCCCTCTTCTTCTTCTCTTCCCCTCTTCAACCCACGGTTACCACTCACGCTTCCACCCAAAGGTATAGATAACCTCTTCTATCATATCTTTCCTTTGCATTTCATTATACTACAAGCGTCAAGAAGTCGATCAAATACATCAGATCCGAAGCTTTCTTTGATCACCTTACCAATATCATCTTTCAGCTTCGCCAGAATCTTGAAGAAGGAAGAATTCCATTTCTCCCGTTCTTAGACGCCTCTTTCGACCAATCACTCATCGTAAAAGACGTTTTATTCGAGCTAAATCAAGTCGTCTTCGGTGTTCAATACCCTCATCCCATACCAATACTCTCATCTATTGAAAGTCAACAGTCGCAATCAGACCGCATTCAGTATGCCAATCCCTTTATGCTCCGTCAGATGCTTTCGCTAACTTTCAAACAGAGATGGATCAGAATATTGGTCAAAGACTTGCACCCCAGGATCAAGTTCTGGCCTCACACATGGCGCAGCTCGACCTTAAGAAAGACCAGGCTCGAAGCGCTCATGCCGCTCCTGCCATTGCCACAGCTGCTGTGCGTGGCAGCAGTGGGGGCGGCATTAGCAGTAGCAGTAGGGGCGGTCTTGGTCGTGGCGGAAGCATGGTCAGAAGAGCGTCTGCTGCAAACTCTCACGACAACACTTTCGAAGCTGGCCCTGTTGACCAGCTGGTCTGTATCGACTCAGAACCTTCCAACGCTAGTACAATGGCAAGAACAAGCCATGGCAGAGGCTTTGAAGCCATGCGTATGGTTGCTGAACAACGTGGCCAAGTCACCCATGCACCTCACGAACAAGCAATCTCGCGATTTGCAAAGGAGTTCTACAACTTGCCAACCAACTACGCTGGCGATCCACTCAACCTTCGCAATCAAAGCGCACCAGTCAAGGATAACGAGAACACTGCGCTATTCATCACTGGGCTTCCGGCAGATTGCAATCATACCATGCTGCTTAAAGCTGTCGCTGGCTGTGCCCCAGTCGGCAAAGTATACGCCACGGTCATCAACGCTCCAAAGCTGATTGAAGGCCAGCTTTTCACCGCAGCCAAGTTGGTATTTTTCAACCGCACTGGCGCCGAGAATTGCTTCAAGGCCATCAAGCAGAAAAGGCTCATTGTCGGAGGATGCCGTCCCAGAGTTGTCTGGAACCGGATCAAGTCGGCCGCACAGCCCAATACCAGCAGGTCCCGAGTCATCCTCATTCGAGGCCCATCTGAGCTGGTCAGGCGCGATGTGCTGGATCGCTGGTTCTCGAAAAAGTTCAGTTACCAGACTGAGGATGTCTTGGTACGCCGAGTACCACAAGCCGGAGTCACAGTGCTTGAATGGCGGTTCGGAAGCTTCCGAGCCCAAGCGGAGGCCGCCACGATGTACATGAGTGAGAATGAGCTCGAGGGCACAAAGCTAGAATGGCGTTGGGAAGTAGACCCCTGTGCTCGATCCCAACTCCAAGCTCAGGTATAAAGATGGAAGGGGCAGTGGAAGGCCGGATTGAACGGCACGGGAGGTGCGGGAAGCCAGAAGGTTAATGTTGGTGAGGCTGGCTGGGAGGAAGTGGATAATGTTTTGGGCGTTTTGGGCGTTTTGGGATTTCGTTTTTAGAAGAAAATACAACTAAAGACCCTTTTACGGTCGACCAAAAGAGGATGTGCACAAGGATATGCATTGGAAGCAAAGAAGTGAATGCAGGCGGATCAAAGAAGCTTTTGCCAAGGGGCAAGCTGGGATGGAACGGTTCGCTCAAGGCTCGTTGGGGTGTGGGAACCTAAGCGTGGGAGAGAAGTGGAGGTGGAGATGCGACGTGCGACGGTGTCTCAGGCTGTGTGGACGCTCGTGGCATTGCTGCTTGGCTTTGTCGATGAGAGGACCCAGTTGTTCGTCTTGGGGAGATCCTAGTGTGAGTCTTTGCTCTTGGCTAGGTCTTGGCTCATATTGGCTTCATCTTGGTTTGACCTGGTTCGACTCTTGGTTTTTGCTTACTGTGGTAGGCTCAGATCGTAGGTTCTCGGAACAATGGGTGTTATAGGCCCAGGTCTCTTGGAGTTGAGCCTCCCCCGTTAGGTTCCTCGTAGCCCGTTACCCCGTCTTCCTCAGCCCCCCTTTGGTGTTGTGCGCGCGTTCCGTCAAAAGTCTGTGCTTGGCTGCCTCCCTCAGAAAGTTCAGGTGCCTTTCCTCTGGAATTATTACTCCGTCCGAAAAAAAGTCAATTGTATGGACGGGTGGTCCCTTGTTACTTTAGGGCGGGTTGCAGTTAGACGCATTGGACGCCCGTCTGCTGCATAACTTTGCCCAGATGTTGAGATTTCGAGAAAAAGCCTCGGCACTTTACCAGGAACTAGGCGAACTTGACACAATGCGTAGACTCTACTGCTCTGCGGAGTAGAGTGAGAGGAACGGAGATGAGGATCAAGTGTCCCCATGTCAGCGTGGTCATTGATGACGGACAACATCTGAAGAAGAAGATGAGAGCAGTGGCTGGATGCGCGTGGAACTCTGAGAATCTTGGAATGAAAGTCTTGGCACAATTTCGTTACTGGTGGATGGAGAGGAAGGAAGACGTAGTGTGCAGGTCGTGGATCAGTGGATAAAGTCTTGCTGGCGTTGCATTTCTATTGGGGAAAGTGCCTCCGGGACTTTGATGGCCTTCAGGGGTCTGCGATGATTTTGTGACGTCGTTTGGCGTCGCTGGCGTTGCTGGCGTCGTTGGGTTGCTGCTTATCTGCACGACGTTTTGTCTTGGCGACCATTTCTTCCACGGTCTTTCCCCCCCCCTTGCCAGACTTGCGGCCTGCCTGCATTGCCGCCAGTCTGTGAGTGGTTATCGCTTCTTTTCTGTGATGTAGGTACCTACCTACTCCGCAGGCTGCAGCTGGACAACGCGAAGCAAGACAACAAAAACCAAAACATGAAGCCTCGACACATGAATGGAACAGCTTCCCAGAGAGCAGGGCGTGTTTCTGTCTGCCTGTCTTCCTATCGTATCCGTACCTAGGATCAAATTCCAATTACCACCTCTCGCACGCGTCGCATCCTCACACACGGACGGAAAAAGTATCTTGTACTTTTGGTTTCACGGCATTTCAGGCGGCGCCCGTCGAACGAGCCAGCTGGCCAGGTGTACCCAACTACCCATCAGGTACTCCGTACACGCACACACGCCCGCCCGCTGCTTCTCTTCCCAAGTTCCCACTCGTCCAACAATGCACAGGGGTTCTGTCAGAGCTCTTGGCATGACAGCAAGCCTGGCCGTGCCTTGATTCACCGACTCTCAATACGCCTCGAACTCTTTCTGTCTCCCTCTCCCCGTGCAAGGTTTCTCTCGCTAGAATGAAGTCTACTGTGTAGATGTGTACCTGCCTGTTCATCGGCTTCCCTTGCTAAATATGCTACGAAGCCGAACATGTCACGAACTCTCTTGCTCTCTTTCGGATTGACGGCCTCCCTCACCAACACAACAAATAACAACAAGACAACCTCTGCCTAGGTTCATACTTGGGTTCCCCCGTCTCACTGACTGGCAAGCAGTGAGAGAAAGCTCAAGTTGAAACGTACTCGCCCCGAAACCCCCAGGCCCGGTCCAGCCCAGCCCCCCCGGACAACCTTGAACACAAACCCCTGCTACCGCTACCGCTACCCGCGGCCACCAATCCACCACCGACCGACTGGACCACGTTGATCAAGACTGGGGAGCGAGGGTCCTCACTTCTCTCCATCTCTTCAGAATCCGTTTATTATATCCCTCCCTCCCACTTCTGCTGTTCGTCCAGCCACACTGTCAAAAGTCTTGGTATTGGGGTCTGTTCCACACTTCTTCACCGTCCCTTGTCCCAGTGATACAACCTCGGTGTACCCGCCCTCTTCGACTTCATATAAGACGTCCTTTTCGCTCTTGCATCATTACGACTTCTTCCTAGTGAAGCATCTTGGAAATCAAACAACGTCTAGACAAGCATAGACGCCTCAACTCGCCGGCATGTCGGCTCCGAGGTCACCCTACCGCCAGAGCTATAGATCGTCAACCGATGGACGATCGCGGCGACGAGAATCAAACCACCCCATCATCCCTCCCGAGAAGGCACGCACTTCAAACTACTCCTCCCGCGGCGAGGAGCTGCCGAGCCACAATGGGCACCTACACCGGAAACCTCCGCCAGGCAGCAAAGTCAGGGTCAAGCCGTCCGGCGAGAGTGGCCGCCGTGGCTTTCACCCTTTCAAGTTCCTCAAGATCTCCTGGAAATCGTCAAGTCGAGCCTCTCTCCTCTGTAACTTTCTCTGGCCTTTCGTACCTGCCGCGTTTGCCGTCCGATACACTCGACCAAACGACCATGTCCTCATCTTTATCCTCACTTACATCGCCATGATCCCCTGTGCCAACATGGTTGGATTCGCCGGTCAGGAGCTTTCTCGCAAAGTGAGCCACGTTTTTGGCGTGCTGATTGAGACGACGTGAGCAAATCCCCCTTCTTCTGCACCTGATGATGCTAATACCAGTTGTTAGCTTTGGTTCCATTGTCGAAATCATCCTGTTCATGGTACTACTCGCCGGAGACCAGTTTACCGTTATCAAGGCTGCCATTCTCGGTTCTATCCTGGCAACTATGCTTCTATGCCTGGGACTGTGCTTCATTGCGGGTGGCATGCGGCGAGACGAGGCCGAGTTCAGCGAAGTCGTCAGTGAAGCCGGCAGCGGCTTGCTGCTCACAGCGTAAGTACTACCTCCGACTGGCAACACCACACGATGCTAACAACTGTGACCAGAGGTGTCGCCCTCGCCATCCCGACCCTGTTCGCCAACTCGCTCGAAAATCAGCTCACCGGCGAAGAACTCGGCAGCAAAACACGCCACATCTCGCGCATCGTATCCTGCCTCCTCATCATCGCCTACGCCGTCTACGTCTACTTCCAAGCCCGAACCCACCACGGAATCTACGACGCCATCTTTGAGCACGACGAGCAGCGAGACCACGACAAGCGCAAGGACCTCAACAAGCCCAAGCTGACGCTGACCGAGTGCCTCGTCGCCCTCGTCATCGCAATCACCCTCGTCACCTTCATGGCCATCTACCTCGTCGAGCAGATCGCCCCCATCGTTGAGCGGCACAACATCTCGGACCCCTTTATGGGTCTCATCCTCGTGCCCCTCGTCGAGAAGGCCGCCGAGCACCTCACGGCCGTCGACGAGGCGTGGGACAACCAGATGAACTTTGCCCTGTCGCACGTCCTCGGCGCCACGCTGCAGACGGCTCTCTTCAACGCGCCGCTCGTCGTCATCGTCGCGTGGGGCCTGCACAAGCACATGGACCTCGTCTTCGAGGTGTTTGATATCGGCATGCTCATCCTGGCCATCTTGACCGTTGGAAACTTCTTGAGGGACCAGAAGAGCAATTACCTCGAGGGATTCTTGAGCGTGACGATTTACGTCGCTATTGCCGTGGCTGCGTTTTACTACCCCAACCCGCCCGGTCACGGTGGCGCTGCCGAGGGTACGAGTGCAGAAGGGGGCCATTGAGTGAGGCATGTGTTCAAGTACCAATAGGATAGGAAAGCGAAATAACGAAAGTCACGAAAGAAATGTACATATATTGCTTTTTGGGAGTTAACATTCAAGGAGAGCATACGGGCGTATAATCAAGAAAGAAGATTCAAATTGCAGAAAACATTATGATCATTTCAGTATTTGTATCGCTAAGAGTGGTATATATCTGCCTCCTGTTCGCACCCACATCAACCCATGTCGCGCGTGTAAGTGCAAGCGAGATCTGGGGGTGGATGCATATCGTCCCCTTCTCTCCGCGGAGATGCCCAAAATACGCTGTTAAAAACAAATAGACCCCCGCTGATGAGCAAAAACGTAGATGCCAGTCTTCCAACTTCGTCCCGTCCCAAACTAGAGGAAGTTCAGAGCAGAATTACGGTTTTCCTCCCCGGAGATGCTTAATTCTGTTGCACCTTTTTCTCTTTTAGTATGGATGCTTGTCGTTGATACAAACTCCACCCACACCCCATCCAAGTGCGGCCCGGCGCGGTGGCGGCTCTTGTCTGCTGACCAGGGGACCTGTGCCGAACTTCCGAGCTCCGTCGGCCCGGGTCACTTTGACGCATCTTTCGATGAAGGTTGGCTACCCTACTCCCCAGATGTTGCCTAGAAGAACAACAGATCGTCTTCCTTCCATCCGAGGCTAGCAAGGCTGGCGCGCACCCCCTTCTCCAACGGCTCCGGCCCGCAGACGAGGACGAGCTCGTCGCCGCCACCACCGCCGCACCTGCCGACTTCCCTTTCGAAAAAGGCGCCGTCCATGCGACCCTTCAGTCCCGTCCACTCCGGCCCAGGTTTGGTGAGCGAGTACACCAGCCGACACTTGTCCGGGCCGGCGGTGGCGGCCATGTCGTCGAGCTCCGCGCGGCAGAGGATGTCCTCCTCGACGCGGTTGCCGTCGAGGACCAGGCACGTCGTCGGGTCCGCTTCGTCCTTGAGAACGGCGCGGAGGACCTGGAAGATTGGCGTTATGCCGGAGCCCGCGCAGATCATGACGAAGCGCTTTACTGTGCGTTGTTTCCCGGAGATGGAGCACAGCCCCTTGCCGAGGTATTCGAATTTGCCAATGGGGCCCTTGAAGTCGACAAAGTGGCCGACGGGGATGGCGTCGAGGGCCTGAGTCATCTTGCCGCCGGGCTGGCCGCCGGGGGCGTCGTAGTAGATCTTGACGAGGACGTGGAGCTGACCCCGTTCGGTGCCCTCTGATATCGGGGTGTAGGCGCGGATGATGGCCTCGCGGGTGACGGGGTCGCGGAGGCGCATCATGAGGTGCTGGCCGACGGGCAGGCCGGCGATTTGGTCGGCGTGTTCGAGGGTGAAGGTGAAGATCTTGGTGTCGGAGGAGATTTTGGTCTTTTTCGAGAGGATGCCCTTTGTCCAGGTCTTTGACTGGAGGAAGACGGCGCGGGGGGAGGCTTTGGAGTCTTCTACCACGACCTCGCCTGCGCTTAGGATCTTTTGGGCTGCTGAGTCGAGGGTGCCGATGTGATACTGGGGCATCATGGCCTTGGCATTTTCGCTGTCTAGAGGAGAGACTATTGTTAAGAACGAGTAAAACTGGAGAAGGGGGATGACTGCGAACTCACGAATGGTCAGGAACTCTTCTGATACGTCCTGTGCGGCTGCTCCAAAGATGGATGCCGCACCTCCCGGATGGCCTTCCAAGAAAGGAGTGCCGTCGTACACCTCGTTGTTGACGACAAACCAAGGCTCCTCTTCGCCCTCATGCTGGCGTAGCTCGTCGATGGAGATGGTCCGCTTGACAGTATCCTTGGTCATGCAGATTTCCTTGATGGGCTCCAGCTCGGCGGAATTCTCAGCTTCACCCTCAACCTTCTCGCCCCAGAATCCGTTGGCCAGGTTTCCTCCGGCCTTCTTGACGCGGTCCATCCATCCGCCCGGCATGAGGGCCGGCTGAGTGGGGTGCTCGAAACGTAGGCTATGGCTCTCTTTATGGATGACAATTCTGAACCACGGGTTGTTCATCATGCCCAGAACACTCCAGTACATGTCTCTCGGTTGCACCATCATGCCCTCGTCCATGGCGCGGACCATTACGTCCGCTGCATCTGCGAGCTGGACTACGGGAATGTCCAAGTCCCAGAAGCACCAGCAGAAGCAGCTCTCTCTCCAATCCATGTCCACGCGGCCGCCGTAGAGGGTCTCGCCTTCGGGAGCGAGTCGGTATGCGTCTTCGGGGTAGTTGATGTTGGCGAGGAGCCACGTCTTGCCACGGTCCAGGGTTATTTCTACTCTGGTGATGCGTCGACCGCCGCCGCCGTACGCATACCCGCGGACCTTGTAGGACTCTGGCCCGCTGTTCAATGACAGAACCTCGTCGTGCGCAGGGTAGCATGTGGCGCTGTTCGTGTTGAGGTCGTAGATGGCATAACGTTCATCTTTCCACACTTCGGGAAGGTCAGCGCTGGCGTCTGGCGACACCATAGTTGGAAGCACGCGGTTGTCATAAATGTGGTACCAGTTGTCGCTCGGCTCCTTGGTCACGATTATCTTCTTGAGCCACTTTACGCTTCTGCCGCCGATCTGCCCGGGGATGATGATGCGTACGGGCTTCCCGTGGTCGGGGTGCAGCAACTCGCCGTTCATGCGGTAACAGACGGTCACGCCGCGGTTAGGATCCATACACCAGTTGAGCTTGATGCTCGTTCCATAGTATCCGTTGGGTAATTTGTCGGCGCCCTCGAAACAGACGTATTTGGCGCCCCTCTTGGGCATCGCCTTGGCGAGCAGGTCGCCTATCGAGACACCGGTCCAGATGGCTGTTGACAGACCGGCGGCGCCCCATGAGAAGCCCTTTGACTTTCTAACCATGTTCTGTTCTTTCCGGCGGTTTCCAGCACATACGAGAGTGACGGGGTAGGTGATCTGCTCGTAGTCTGAGATGAGGTCCCTCAGTGTCATCTTGATAGGGTTCTCGACCAGGCCCTCGACGGTGAACTCCCAGTCAAACATGTCTTCGTCCTCGACTTTTGGCACTGGGCCGTGGTTGCGTACATAGTGCAAGTCTTTTGTAGTGATGAAACCTTCGTCGTACAACTCGCTGAGAGGGGCCTCGACGTTGAAGGGGTGAAGCCCCGTTAGGCGTATTAGTCGGGGATCTCGGGTGACATGACTGTCGGGTGTCTTGAGGTCTTCAGTGAGGACCTTGTTGACTCTAGACTTGGGAGGTAGGGGATATGTGCGAGGGCCCTCGACGATGACCTCGTCTAACAAGCATCCTGATATCGAGCAGTCCGATCCGCCGTCGACGCTATAAGACTGACCCTCTCTTACTGTCGTTGCTGGACTCGGAGGAAAGCTGAGCTCCTTTTTGGCGTGTGATTCTCGTAAGGATGTTGGTGTAGGGGTAGGTAGAACATCCATGGTTGACGATGATGGCTGAGTATCAATGATAGGCGTGATGAGGAAGAGTGGATGAAGTTGAGCCGGGTAGGCGTCCGCGGAAATAGTTGTCTCAGTCGTTGATGACAATCACAAGCAAGCCATGAAACTACGTATGCGCTAGGCAAGATTTAATCAAGTATCGAATGAGAAGACAAGGCTCGATGCAAGATCGCTATTAAGTAGAATATATGGTTAGAAATCGCGAGAGAAAAGAGGGAATCTATGAACGCCGGGTAAGGATGGAATAAGTAACAATGGTGAGTGGGTTGGGTTGGTGGAGGTGAGATTTGGATTTCCTGGGGCCGGAGTTTGGTGTCTGTGGTGTGGGCGGGCCGGACGCACCACAGGGGGCGAGGGGATGGGGAATTGCTGCATGACATGACATGGCATGGCAAGTGCAGGGCCCAAGATTAAAGGCCTTGCCTAGGGATGGGGTGGGATAGTACAACATGGCATCATCAGATGGAAGTGACGCTAAGATAAAGGCTCACTAGGAGACCGAAAGGCTGTGGACAAGCAGGATCATCTCTCCGAGAATTGCGCTGACGGTTGGACAGGAGGGTATACAGTACCTACCTAGAAAATGAGAAAGTCCCGTCCTTGTACAGAACCTGCGGTGCCATATTCCATCCTCACCATAGACGTTTAGCTTGAGTGCCCTCGTTGGCCTTGGTCAAAGTGTCGTGTAAGTGAGCAGACGATTCGCCGGCGAATAAGATCGACCAGACGGTCCCGAACCTGGCAACTTACCTTATTCGACCGGTACGAGACGGCGTGCGGCGAGGAGATGCAACTTTCTAGCTAGGAAGGGAGTGGGCTCAAGTGTTGAAGAGTTCCGCGGAGGAAAGACACACACTGACACTACTGGCATGCTGCGGGATTCTTATCAGTTGCCCGCGTCATTCTTCTCTTGGACAGTTTGACGTTGGCGGTTGGACTGATGCTATTGGGGCGATAAGGGCACAAAACAACGGACGAGGGAAATCCCAGCGGAGATGCTTAATTCGATCTTTTTTTTTTTCTCTCTCCTTCACTCTATCGGCTCGGTATTTCACGGCACTGGATTGGTCAAATGATTGAAATGGAACCCCGATCGGGATCCATGCCCCTGGGTCCGGGAAAGGCCCGTGGAAAAGTGTTAAAAGGATCCCGGATCGGGGGAATTCTCGAAGTTCAAGAGAGCCGGCACCCTTGTCCATCCGGTTGGCCGCCGCATCCATGAGCCGTACTTACTTGCATACGCCGGGCCGCACTCCATCGTTTCCATATTCCATTTCAAACTTAAGAACTACCCATCATGCTTTTTCATGCTGAGATGCGGCACTTGATCCTTCGCCGCAACTGCCACACCAGCTATCATGGGATCAGGTTTACCTTCTTCAACTTGGCAAGCATTCACCTGTCGTTGGGCCAGGTCTTTTGACCCCGTCATCCTGGGGCCATTAACGTGGCACGTCGCACCGCTTGGCACCCATCACGACGGTTTGCGGAGATTTCTCTCGTGTTGCCTGTAACACTCATGTCGTGGCTCACGATTAGCGTCGCCCGGGAATGTGGCGATATGAAGTCTTGAGCAACATCGTGGCTGTCAGTGAATGACTTGTCAACATTCGCTAAGTGACCTCTGATCCTATAGGAGAAGGTGTGACTCAACGTAGAAGAGCCTTGAATGAGGCCAGAAGTCTGTATCAGCCACACCTTCAGAGTTTGTGCTTTCGCATTGCGTAAAGTTTTAGTAAGACACGACATGTGTGATGTTGTGGCTGGTTTGTCGACAATAAGATTGGCAGACTTGCTTTCTTGATTCTTGCATGTCCGTCATTGGCCAATTGAGACGGTGATTCGTGGACACTTCAAATTGGCAGATCGGCATTACCCAGATTGTGCTCGTATCTTGTCTCGTCTTTTCTCCAAGGCAATGTGTCTCACGGCTGGGGCCATGAGTGGGGATGAAGGCATTCATCACGAAGCCACAAAAATGGGCGTTGAAACTTTCAAGACTCACCAAAGCTCGTATTTCCCATGTTTGGCTTGACATCTTCGGGTTGTTGAGAATACACTTTCAAGCTAATGGAACATGAGACTTTCTCATCTAGCTGAGTGATATGACTGAACCCCATGAAGCTGTCTTCCCGTCCGTACCGTCCTTCCACCTTCGCATCAACGTAAATCCTCCCGACAATGCTCCGGGCTACACCCAATGTCCTACCTACTATGTAGGTATGCTATTATGGAGCGACGGGGACAGGTTTTCCCTGGTGAATGTGGGAAGTGGACCTGTGAGGTAAACGACAAAGGTACCCAGAGCGCCGGGTCATGACGCTCACCGCCCGGACCGCTTAGATGACCGTGAAATGCGGCACCCAAGGCGGCAAATCAGATGCTACCTTGGCAGCCCACCCACCTAAGCTACAGCCTACAGGTCATTCACAGCAGGAACCAAGCGCTAAGTAGGTTCCTCCCCCCGAAACTCTCACTGCAAGGCGCCTGTGCAGCCTTCCTCCATTGCAAACCTGGAGGGCTTTTCGCGACCTTCCTGAATCTCCAAGGCCACTACTCCGTACCGAAAACCCGCTAAACACAACCGCCACCGTCGCTGCCCTGACTTCCCTTGTGCAGATCCAGCAGCGACAGGCAACCCAAACGGCTCCTCACCTTCACCTCAGGTCAAGAATTCTCTCAGCACCGCCAATACAATCGCCAACGACACCATTCACGCAAACCCGAACCGACACGACCACTTGCCCCCCCCAGGCAAGGCCTGCCGCTGCGAATAATCTTACCGATGCCGGCCCATGTTGACGCGCAGAGTCACACTCGTTTACAACACTCGATCCCATAGCATCAGCTCCCGACATCATCAGTGCCATCCTGCCCTATGTAGCGCCCGCCCGCTTTCAACCCTTGCATATACAATACTCGATTCTCACGATCCGCCATGGATCGTGCCAGGAAGCGTCAGTTGCGCTCTCCCGCCCGCCCGCCGCCTTCTCTTCTACTATGCGGCATCTCGCTAACAGCCACTCAGGTGAATTGCGCTCCTTGAACACCCGCGCTTGGGATGGCGAGCAAGGTTCGTACATCGGGTTCAGACCCCACCATGCCCAATACCCCTCCTCTGACTTGCCTCTCCTACACAGATCTGTTTGCTGTCAGCAAATCTCTCGATTCATCTCTCAAGAAGAATACCGCCTTCATCAAGCGCCTTCGAACCGCCGTATCGGCCGCGACCCTAAATACCTTCCTCCAAGAGATCCGCACCCTCAGTCTGCACAAGTACCTCTCCGAAATTGTCTCTGCCTGCTTCGAGGGCCTATGCAGACTCAAGTCCCCCGGCGAGATCGAAGCTGGCGTCGAAATTGTCAGTGCTCTACACCAGCGCTTTGGTCCCAGCGAGTTCACCGAATACCTAGGATGGTTGCTTGGGAAGGGAATGGCAACGCCCGACAAGAGCTTGCTCAAGTCGTTGGCACCCGAGGTCCGCGAGAAGGAGGAGAAAGAGCGCTTGACGCGCCAGCGTGTGCTCTTGCGCATTGTCACCGAACTTTGGCTGGTTGATGTTCTGCGAACTCTCGATGACGTTACAAGACCAGACGATGCTACCAAGGGTGCTACAGGGAAGGTCGCTGAGCTGAAGCCTAGAGCGCAGGCAAACAGGAGCGGCGCTGCCGAGCCTTTTCCCCTCGAGGTACTCAAGGATCTACTTGGCCATGATCGGGAACACGTAAACTTGCCTCTACTCGTCATCTTCGTCAAGGCCTTTAGCTGGGATATTTTGGGCGTCAAGTCTTCGGCTGCTGAGGGACGAAAGACAGTTGAGGAGGACGGCGCGACCAAGACTGCCAACGGAATCGTACACGGGGAGAGCGGCGGCGAAGACCAAGTCATCGACACCGAAGATCAGCCGTTCACACCCCCTGAGCTTCAGGAGAAGTTCAAGACTATCCTCAAAAAGTACTTTGAGGACGTCAAAAGTCATGTCGTTCGGGACCAGAAATCCATCCATTCCCAAGCTCGCCGCAATGCTGAGGCCTACGTCAAGTCTGGCGAGGTTTTTGAAGATCGCCAGGCCAACTTTGAAAAGCAAATGAAGGCCCAGGAGCGGCTGGTAGCCAATGCTCAGGCAATCGCGGACGCTATTGGCGCTGACATGCCTGATCTCAAGGAGAGCGATGACTCGCTGGGCAATACCAATGGCTCGATCGGTCTGGTCAAGGCTGGTGACTATCTTCGAGGTCTTGGTGACGGTGCTGGTATTTGGGAGGATGAAGATGAGCGGCGCTTCTACGAAAACCTCGTCGACCTGAAGGGCAAAGTTCCAGGCATTCTTTTGGACGACGGTAAGAAGAAGAAGTCCGATAACGAGGAGCAAGTGGGCAGGAAAGTGGAAGTTACCGATGCACCGGAACCACACAAGGTCCCGGACGCAGCCGAAGACCAGTCCACCTCCATCGCCAACAAGACGATTGGTGCTCAGGTGGACGCAGTGTTGGCCCGTCTGCCGGATCTCACCAACAAGGATGTTATTGACCAAGCCGCTATCGACTTCTGCTACCTCAACTCGAAAGCCTCGCGCAACAGGCTGATCAAGGCTTTGACCGAAGTCCCCAAAGGCCGCGGCGACCTGCTGCCCTCATGGGCCAGGCTCGCTGCCACTTTGGGTAGATACATGCCGGATATCCCCAAAGGCCTTGTCGACTATCTTGATGCCGAATTTCGCAGCCTGCAAAGACGAAAGGACAAAGACTTCCTGGGCCAAGTGCGCTTGAGCAATATTCGCTACCTTGCTGAACTGACCAAATTTGGCATCGTTCCGGAGCACGTTGTGTTTCATTGCCTCAAAGTCAGCCTCGACGACTTCTCGAGGATGAACATCGAGATCATCTGCAATCTCTTAGAGAACTGCGGACGATACCTTTTGCGGAACCCGGAGACTTCACCGCGCATGGCAACCTTTCTCGAGACATTGCAACGCAAGAAGTCTGTCCAGCACATTGGCCAAGCCGAACGCATGCTCATTGAGAACGCTGTCTACTATGTTGACCCTCCTGACCGGCCTGCCATTCAGCAAAAGGAGCGCACTCCCATGGAGCTGTTTATTCGCAAGTTGATCTACATGGACATGACTAAGCGTAATTACAGTAAGGTCTTGAAGCAGATTCGCAGACTTCACTGGGAGGAGGCCGAGGTAAGTCAAAATTGATCACTGCAGTGTCGTCAGAAGTTAACCGTACGACAAGGTTGTCACCATTCTTGAAAAGGTTTTCTCTAAGCCGGGCAAAGTCAAGTACGGCAACATCCATCTTCTCGCAATTCTTCTCAGCGCAATTTACCGCTATCACCCCGCTTTCGTCGTCAGGGTTATCGACACTGTCATGGAATCGATCAGCTTCGGGCTGGAGCAAAACGACTTCAAGTTCTACCAGCGAAGGATTTCCGAGGTCAAGTACATTGGTGAACTCTACAACTACCGAATGGTTGAGCATCCAGTCGTCTTCGACACCATGTACAAGATTATGACATTTGGCCACGGTGGTCCGCCCATCCCTGGTCGACTAAATCATTTTGATTTGCCCGATGATTTCTTCCGCATTCGTTTGATTGCGACTATCTTGGAGACATGTGGCATGTACTTTGCCAAGGGTGCGGCTGGCAAGAAGTTGGACTACTTCTTGTCGTTCTTCCAGGTTTGTTTCTTTGGATTTCGCGCGTTGCTTCCCGTCGACTAATACATGATAGTACTACATCTATACCAAGCAATCGCTGCCCATGGACATCGAGTTCATTGTTCAAGACACTTTCGCCCTTACACGACCCCAGTGGAAATTGGCAACCAACCTCGAAGAGGCTTCAAAGGCATTCCAGCTTGCCATAGCTCAGGACCAAAAGGTCTCGGGAGCCGACAAGACGCTCGAGGCCGATGATGCATCCATCGGGTCATCTTCGGACGATGAGGATGGAGATGAACATTTGCCTGAGCCCGAAGCTGACGAAGAAGAGTCTGATTCTGACGAAGATGCTGAGGTAAGAGAATTGCATAGGTCGTGCTGGCCCAACCCGTTACTGATTAGTCGTACGAACAGGACAATGACGTCGACATGTCTCATGCGGACTCCGATAGCGAGGATGAGGCTATCGTGGTCACTCGCCAGCAGGAACAAGTTGATCCGGAAGCCGAGGCCGAGTTTGAACGTGAATACGCAAAGATGATGGCCGAGAGTCTGGAGTCTCGCAAGTTCGAGCGCAAACCCTTGTTCGACGTGCCACTGCCCGTCCGCGGCAAAAGCAAGGAGTCGGCAACAGCAGCCGACTCTGGAGATACTAGTGTGCCCGCTCCCAGTAGCACAATGGCCTTTTCGCTCTTGACGAAGAAGGGCAACCGTCAGCAGGTGGGTGAAGTTGTGGTGGGTTGGGTGCAGTTATCATCTTTGCTAACAAGCTTCGCAGACGCGTACTGTGGAACTTCCTTCCGACTCAACATTTGCTGTGGCTATGAAAACTCAGCAACAAGCCGAAAGAGAGGAGCAGCAACGCATCAAGAACCTTGTCTTGAACTATGATCTTCGCGAGAGCGAGGATCCGGATGGTAACGACTGCCCAAACCCAATGAAAGCACACCTAGATATTCACAACCCCCAAGCAGGCCACGAGAAGCCAACTTCCTATCATCATAATCGAACAGATCGCGGAAAAGACCGCGGCGGACAACGGGTTCGCAAGCTTCAGCTAAGTGACGTTGATTGGTATGAATCATCAACCAAGCGTGGACACTATTTTGCACGGGCACAGACTCCTTGCTCCGACTGGGACGTAGAAGCTGGCAACGATGTAGAGCAGTCAGAGACTCCTTCAACACATCACCACGGTACTGTTCACAAGCGTCACATGCCGGCCATGCACTCTACGCCCAGACCAGGAGATCGAAAGGAACAGCCTCGCCGGGTTCGCAAGTGCCAGTAGAGTTTGCTAACGAAGAGGAAACCTCGCTTCCATAACAGGACGTGAAGAACGCACCATCATACAGAACTAGGTTCTGAGGATACACTTTATTGCAGTCTTCCAGACGCCACCAACTCAACCCACTGGAGGTTGCCGCAACTGCCAAGACTTCCAAGGTGCAGGATGGCTCCTGAGGTTCATCGAGGCAGACAAATTCATGCAAGGCGCCAAACGCGGCCAAGTATACTCTCGTCACCGGAGCTTACCAGCTTTTCAGGCTCGTAAAACTCCACGATCTAGCCGAGACCCATGGCAGACTGACAAGTATATAAGCCAAGCTGCGATCAACAATTGGTTGATAACCTCAGGATTCATATGGAAGAAGAGCCATGGGTTGCAAGGGTGGCCAGTCACCGGCTAGATCGTAGTTCGTGCGTGAGGGTGACGATGACGGAGGGGCGAGGAATGCCAGGTGGAATGGATGGGTGCAAAGCAGATCTCTACTACACCAGCTAAGCAAGTGGGTACAGTACCTATAAGATCTGAAGTCATCATTCTGGTTGATTGACCCTGGGATCACTGCCGCCTTTTCTTTGCAGAGGAGAATTCCCACATTCAACATTCTTTTGGTAAAGAGAAGTAGATGTCCAATATCGAGAAAGGTAACAAGTGCATGAGCAAACCGGCTTAACCATTATCGCCAGTGCCTCTTCCGAACCGGGACAGGTGATTTTGATCGAAGTCATTTCTCACGGGCGAATCTCACCAAATGATTCACTCACGGCGGTACGGCAAGAGGTAGGCAAGCGTAAATGTGCTTTTCAACCGGTTCATTCTAGCGAGTTGGCTGATAGCCTGATCTTGTACTCTCACAGGATTTGCAGCTGAATCGCTGGGTCCGTTGGGCTAGAATTTTGCACAAGATGGTTGCGGGTGTGGCTTACAGTCGACCCGATGTGTGGTTCGAGAGCTGGTGTGAAGTGGGGTGGGGCGTCATGGCACTGGTCGACGGTGCTAGATCTGATGTAACTCGATGGTGCTTCTTGGCAAGCATTAGCTGTGGGCAAGAGGAAATACGAAGTGCACATGTTTCAGTTGGCGTAGGCAATACCATTTCTTGGAAAGGGTGTCATCGTTCGTTTCATCTTGGAAGAAATCACTAGGCTGACGTTGCATCGTAGGTAGTTGACGCTGGCCAGTCGAGTCTCGGTGAAAAGAATTTTGTTTCTCGTTTGCGGCAGGAAACGTCCCGACAACAACATGTTGTGCATTTGGCGCTGCCATTGTTGCCACGCAGCTGTTCAGCACAGCTACACCGCGACTACAGCCGCGACCGGACGTTGGATGGCCTACGTCCGGCGGACGCAAGACGGGCTGCAAAAAAGCCGAAGGTGTGCTTCGAGGTTCATGCAGGTCGAAAGTGTATGTCTACAGCCAGGGCGATGGCAAAAGGCGAACAGGACCCTGTGCGCGTGTCGAAGCCGATGGCGACAGCTTGACATGGCTGGGCAACATTATTGGGCCGAACCTTGACCTTATTTGTGCATAAGCTCGCTTCATTCGTCCGATGTCGAGGTTCTCACGACGCCTGCCTCAACCAAGGCATCGCAAACGGAACAGGTCGCTGATGCAGTGTATCCGGCGGACTTGGCCGATGTGCTCCAAGCCAGTGCCGAGTAAAAATGCTGACAATTCAAATTGACAACAACGACGTGTCGCTTTCACATTTGAGGTGGTTGAGGAGGTTACTAGCCACACAAGTCGAAACTTGAGTCGGCGGCGGCGGGCGATCGCGTGGCAAATCGAGACCGCAAACAACTATCTGTCGCCAGCGTGATGCCATCTTCGAGCAGGTTGAGGATGGATGGGAGTAGGAGCGCGTATCCGTAGAGGGGTGGTCTGGAAGCGGGTGGGGGGTGAGCGAGGCACGCGTGGGCGTATGGCGCCGTTGTCCCAGTGTGTCCTGAAATATCACATTCCGGCTGATCCTGGGTTGCTCGGACGTCCACGGACGTCTTGGGGTGGAATCTGTATGGTACCATGTCCATATCCACCGGCTAGGTAAGAGATGTTCAGCACCGACCACGGCAACACTGCGCCCACCTTAGACTGGAAGACAGGGAGATGGAAGGATCAGTAAAGGAGGATTCGAGCGTATTGAGGGACGTGAGGAGTTGGGCGGGGACTTGTTGTAGACATTGGTTTTGAATCGAGATATCGCTAGCAAAGCTTGAGGTCAGATGCCTTGGGACGCGGCCGGAGTTGGAGTAGATGATTTGGAAGAAGGTTGTGTGGACTGTGAAAGAGGTCGAATGCGGCAGAAAGTCGTCTCGTTTGGTTCTGGCCCCAAAATAGACGGGATCATTCGTGGTTGCATAGCCGTGGATATCGGAGAATTTCGTTTCTTTCCTGAATCCTCGTCGACTTTGGAGAAGTGAAATAAGACAAGCGCGATGGATGTTTTGGGAAAGAGTTCCCCACAGGCGCCGGGATCGTCGTCGGCAAGATTGGCTGCCCCTGGACCAAATCGTCTTAGCGCCTCAGGGCAAGGTTCGGTGTGCTAACCTTGAGGGAGGTGCGCCAATCATATTTCCTTCCTTCTGGATGTCCCGTCCCTCACAAAGTGCGATGGAAGACGGGAAGCCCCAGATGCGAATCACCAATGTTTCCTTCCGTCACCTCAGTCACATTCCAGCTGGCAGGGATCATCTTTCCAGCGTTTGATAGTAAGGGTTTACGGAGTACTGGCCCCAGTATACATACCAACCTGAAGCTTGCTTGACCGAGGTGCCTCGCTCGGTTCTTGGTGTGCTCCAAGCTCACCTTACCTACCATAGCAATGCTGCCTCTAGAAAGCACTTTACGGATGGGTGTTTGTCATTGTTTGTTGGGAGGTGACGGTCACGGAGTGGCAAAAGCCAACCGGAATGGCTTCTACGGCAACCGCGCGCAGGGTTAAGCGGGCGGATTGCGGCGTCTAAACTACGTGACTACCGACTGTGAGAACAGAACATTCCATCACAAACTCAAAAAGAGACACTTCACCTTAATTCATGGGGTGATGCTTTGCATTTACCCTAACGCGATGGCGGTCGAATAAGGTGGCCGTACAGGGCACCGGAAGTTCTTTGATACAGCGGCCCCTACCGCCCGAAGTCCCGGCTGTGCTGACGACCCACCTGTGATCCCTGCCTGACCCTTCCCTAAATGGACTTGACCCTTTTTGATCAGCTTAGCTAATACAACTGACCCCCCTGCTTCACCAAGGGCAAATGCAACTTCACGTCGGGTCCTTGAGTGCCAACAGTGCATACCTACTTTGCTACTCTCACATCGCTTCGGTAATTATTCCCCGTTCACCTGCCGTGTACGTCACATTCTTCACAAATATGCTCAAATATTGGAAATGCGGGATACCTACCTTACCCCAAAGGGTCTGGGCTGTTCGTTCAGACAGGAAAGGTAGACCCCGATCCAAGAGGTGTGCGGAAGAACTCTCACGGGGCTCGGCTGGGCTGTGCATTCCAGAGTTGACGATCACGTCCGTCTCCTACTCATAGTTGTTCCCAGCAACGAGAGCCTTGACCTACGTAGTCGCCGTTAGCATCAGAAGCACATCATATTTCAGCAACGATCGCGGATCTAAACGAGACCACGAGGACGGGTGATAACCCCAAACCACCTTTGCGTGATTAGCATTCCGTCGAGAATCCGGCTGCGTGGGAAGTTGTAGACACGAGGCATGTCGCACCAAGGGTCCTGACAGTCGTGCCACATGCCATTCTAATTATCTTGCCCGGTTAACTGATCCAGCATTTCTGAGCGAGGCTATTGCCGCGAGGGCAACCCGATTCATCGATCTTGCCAGGTACCAGGCGCCGGGGACGTCTAGGAAACTGTAGAAACACGTCTCCTAGGTCCCGCGAGGCATACAGCTTGCAACTCGAACCGGCCGGTCGCAATACCAAGAGCCCCTCCATGTGCGCAATCGGGTGGCTATCCGCGCCAAAATGATGCCTCGCCTGGCTTGACATTGGCGCCCATCCATCAATCGGCTAATGTGATCCGTGCAGGTCGGTGATCCCTGAGAGCTGCTCTTTGCCTGCTTGTCTGCTTGTTTGCTTGATCCCCTTGGGCTGAATACCTAATCATCCTCCTTACCCACCTATTCAACTTGGACCATCCAGACCCCCCCTCCCCCATCGGTCTGTGAGGTATTACCGGATCGATCCTAGACGGGCGCGGCTCTATCGAGCCTCGAACCCTGTTCGCGCCTCCCCCGTCTTTGGGACCCTTTCCTTTTCCGTCTTGCTCCATGTTACGCCCCAGGCTTCTTAAGACGAGTAGGAGCCAGCCAACATCTCCCGTCATCTGATTTTCTACTCAGCGTCTCCTTTAGTCTCCGTCGCTCCGCGATCTTTCTTTGTCCTCTCTGGCTGATCTCCGCTCATGATGTACTCGTTGACCTCATAAGAGCCCATCTGAGCTTGAGTGTCGCGACCGACCTTCTCTTGGCCAATCTGAACAGGCCGGCCACTACTTGGAGGTGAGTCGTTTCCTCATCCGGCCCATCGCAAGTCACCCCAAGCTCACCTCACTCGAAGAAAAAGGTGGCTTTGCCCATATTCACGGCCGAACCATCAGAGCTCGCCTTTCCGCGGTTACCGACTACTTTGTTCGGATACCTTGCTCAAGTTGTGCCGCGCCAACGGAAGCGTCTTGACTCCAGCCCGACACACCCGTCCGACTGGATTCAAGAAAACGAGTGTTAAACATAGTACGCGCCGTACAAGCGAGCTGCAACTACCCGACGACAACACGCTTTATCTGCACGATCCCGCCTCCCTCACCGCGGCGTGGACCTCTTCTACCCAGCTGAAGTTGCGGTTTTCGGTCGGCTCCTTGCCCGCCTGCGTTTGCTTCTACCGCTCGTGTATCGTCGATTCAGCGCACATTCCTTAAACACGATGGAAGACTACAGTTATCTTGTCAAGATGGCGGAGCCTGGTGATGAAAATTACTGGGCCCCCAAAGACGTGAGCTCCTTTGTCACTTGTGTATCAATTCTCACTTGCTGATATGCCCAGATTGTTTACACTTCCATCGTCGGATTGGTGATGTTGGCAGCCATCCTCGAATGGTTCCTATGGATTGCTGCATTCCTGTACTGCCTATGGAAGGTCTTCGTCAAGGCCGAGCACTGGTCGATTCGAGTATTGGCAGTTATTGTTGGCATATTGTTCACTTGTTTTAGGTAAGTGGAAGCGTCACGCAATCCTCTCACACGAAAGATGGTCGAGCTTATGATTCTCACTAGAGCAATTTTCCTCCCAATCATGATCGTCACTCTGCCTCTGCCCAGTGCTGTCGTAAAGTACTGGCCAACCAACATGGTCGATGTGCTTCAGTGGTTCGCTTTCTGGAGTTTTGCTGGTCTTCTGACCATCCCATGGCTATTCTGCGTCTATCAGCTTGTTACCAACCAGCTCGGACGAACGAAGAGAATCAAGCAGGTTCTGGATGAAGTCTCGGCACCAAAGGTCGTTATTGTCATGCCCGTTTACAAGGAGGACCCCGATGTTCTCGTTGTTGCCATCAACTCCGTTGTCGATTGCGACTACCCGCCCTCGTGCATTCACGTCTTCCTCTCGTTCGACGGTGATCAGGAAGACGAACTCTACCTGAACACTCTCGAGAAGCTGGGTGTCCCGCTGACGTTGGAGACATACCCCAAGAGTATCGACGTCTCATACAAATCCGCCCGCATCACCGTCTCCAGATTTCCCCACGGCGGCAAGCGTCATTGCCAGAAGGCTACCTTTAAACTCATCGACAAGGTTTACGAGCATTACCTCAAGAGAAACGACAACCTCTTCATTCTTTTCATCGATTCCGACTGTATTCTGGACCCTACCTGCCTGCAGAACTTCGTCTTCGATATGGAAATGAGCCCTGGTAACCCCAGAGACATGTTGGCCATGACCGGTGTTATCACGTCTACGACTAAGAAGCATAGCCTGATTACACTGCTCCAAGACATGGAGTATATTCATGGCCAACTTTTCGAGCGAACTGTCGAGTCCGGATGTGGCGCTGTCACTTGTCTTCCCGGTGCTTTGACGATGCTTCGATTCTCTGCTTTCCGCCGCATGGCCAAGTACTATTTTGCCGATAAAGCTGAGCAGTGCGAGGATCTTTTCGACTTCGCCAAGTGCCATCTAGGCGAGGACCGCTGGCTGACGCATTTGTTCATGATCGGAGCCAAGAAGCGATATCAGATTCAGATGTGTACCTCCGCCTTCTGCAAGACCGAGGCTGTCCAGACCTACAGATCCCTTATCAAGCAGCGTAGACGTTGGTTCCTGGGTTTCCTGTCCAACGAAGTCTGCATGCTTACTGATTGGCGTCTCTGGAAGCGTTACCCTATTCTGGTTCTTGTTCGATTCATGCAAAACACCATTCGAACCACGGCTCTTTTGTTCTTCATCATGGTTCTCGCCATCATCACCACCTCCAAGAAGGTTGACAACTTGCCGGTCGGTTTCATTGCAATTTCTCTCGGACTCAACTGGCTCATGATGTTGTACTTTGGTGCCAAGCTCCGTCGATTCAAGATCTGGCTGTACCCGATCATGTTCATCTTGAACCCCTTCTTCAACTGGTTTTACATGGTTTACGGTATCTTCACGGCTGGTCAGAGAACATGGGGAGGCCCGAGAGCTGATGCCGCCACCGCCGACACTGAGACTACTGCTCAAGAGGCCATTGAACAAGCCAAGGAAGGTGGAGACGAGCTCAACATCGTGCCCGAAACGTTTATTCCTGCCGCCGAGGCCCGGAAGGAGAGCATCGCTGGCGGCAAAGGCAACATGGGCCCTATGGGCCGCAAGCACAGTGTCGTCCAGCCGCCATCGCAAATCGAGGGACGTTTCGCTGCCAGAAAGAAGTCTGCTGCTGGATTCTATGTCAACGCCGACGACTCTCAAGTCACCGTCAACCGATCCGGTCCTAGTGGTTTCGGTCCGGCATGGGCTTTGCAGTCACGCGACTCATTCGATAGTATGGTGTCGTCGCAGACCGCTGGCAACTCGGTCTACATGCCCCGTCGTGTGGAGAGTATCATGGGTGAGGAGGATCGCAAGAAGTACGAACTTGCACAGCAAAGCCAGTTCAACCAGTTTTTGTCCAACTCTAAGCGATTTGGAGCTCAGACTACAACCACTGGCCAGGTTTACGAATATTCCGATGCTGAGATGAAGAGAGGAGGATTCCAAGACGTCCCGGATCCGATGGACAGAGGCCAGGAGTACACCGACAATGTCCGGATGGGCTCAGTTGACAACAACTTTTCGGGTCGGCCACAGTCTGGAGAAGGCCTGCCACGGCAAGGGATGAACGCAACACACTCGGCTAGAGGCGGTCGTAGCCCTCTTGCGAGAGCCAGCTTGGTCCGCACGATCCCTCTGGAAGATGTCCAGTCTGAGGGCGAAAGCTCAAGCGGAGGCCATGACAGCCGCGATCACTCACCCAAGAGAAGACAGTAGTGGAGCGTTGGGGGCGAAGCAACGACGTTGTGCGATAGAATGGATAAATTTGCATATCATGGCGTTGAAGGGCTTTCAATAAAGAAGCAGGAGAAGGTCAAGACGTCCGGCAACACTGGGTTCGAGTATTTTCTTTAATTCTTTTCTCATTTCTTTTGTAAAACCCATGGGTTGATAGCGCAAGAGCTGTAGGTGCAACGCCTAGCAAGGCGGGTATTGGAAAGCCCATTTGACCAGAAAGCTATTAGCAATATTTACATAATGCAATGCATTTTGGAGGCATCCGTACTCTTGCAACCTGACGATATGGTGCAATGGGCTGTTGTGGTTAAAAATGACAGGACCAAGTGACCGGGTCTGTGGACGGTTGGAAGCTGTGAAGTAATCTTAATCAAGGACAAGATGTCGAGCGTCGGGGAAGGAGATGCATTTGGTAATCATCGCGGCATGGACATGATCCATTACCCAATAGAGGGGTATCGCCAAGATAAGATTAGATAACTTCAAGTGGACTCGGAACCGTATCGTACTTGGCAACAACCTGCAGAAGCAGCATGTTGTCTGGTCGCATGCTTTACAAAACAGACTCGTAGGAGCAGCCTGACATTGACGGGCCTCGTGACCAACGATGATGTCCAAGGTGCTCCATATCTAGGTATTGCATCACGGCTGAGCACAGATGTTTGGACAAAATAAAACAAACGAGCAAGGATGACAGGCATATTGTCGTTGTCGACGAACAGGGATGGCTTTGGACAAAGGCACGAAGGATGGATTGATTGCTTCGAAACCAAGGCGGTCCGCCATATTCGTTCATGAATATAACCCCAAACTCTGTAGTATGTATGGATGGCTCACAGGACATGCAGAGACCAACGGCGAGCAAGCCCATCTGCCTGCCAGCCTTACCTTACACGCGGATGTGGTTCTTTGCTGTCTGCATTGCCTCACTTCTGCGGGAGCCAGTTGGAGAGAGGGACGATTGGTGAGGGGTGGCGGCGGGGTGGAGGAACAGCGTGGAGGGGCAGCAAGCACAAGAAATCCACGGTGGTCGCGGAGTGGCACGGTGACCCGAGCAGGGGGCCAAGTCAATGAGGAACGACAGAGAACGAAGGAGAATCTTCTTTCCCATTCGGCCTCCACTACTATTTCAGCGCCCTGACACCGTCAAAATTCATTTGGGTCCACCCAGCTCAAGTCATTCCCGTCCCGCCGAGTACTTACCTACCTTACCATTTGGTAGACATCGTCGCCTTTTCCGAGGTACCTTACCTTACTCAGAGCGCACTGTCACAGCAATACCGTCCCTTACAAGCAAAGAAAACGTCCGCTAGAAGACGCTCCAGTTACAGAGCATCGCACGCTAAACGTCTCGTCGATACCATAGGTACTGTAGGTACCCAACTTGACAGCACACACAATCCAAGCCCAAACCCAGTGTAAGGTACCGTGCCAAAAAAGGTACCTGACCGCCCTCCTTGCCTCACCAATACCCCAAAGTAAATCCGGTGTGGCCACGTACCTTACCGCTACCTGGACCTCCCCGGTCTTCCTCGTCCCGCCCACCTCATCCACCTCTGTCGCCTGCCACTCACCACTGCCTTACCTCAGAGTACTTACTTGGTGTACAGCCCGGCCAGACACTTCCTGGTGACGCTAGAGCGCACTGCAACTTTTTTTCCACACTCCCGCACATCCCACCTTCAGGTTCTCTTGCATATTGACAAACTCTTAAACCTTGCATTTGTCTGTACTCGACATTTTTCTCCCCCCCAACCTTTTCGACGAGACGACCTTTCGACTCGACCGCTTGCAAATACCCTTCCCGCAAGTCGGAATAATCTACCATCACTCGATCAAGACTCGAACCCCCCAACAAACCTCTTTCCTCTTCTCAGAGCGTTGTTGTGAGCGCAACCCCGCTGCCATCAGAACCTCCGCCGGACAATCCTTGTTTACAATATCCTCACAGAAAGAACACTACCACCCAACATGAGTGTCGTCGGTATGCTTGCGCCTCTCTCTCGTTCTCTACCGCCTTGGTATCTTTCGCCTCGATGAATACTTGCTGACCTTTGTGTTCTTTCCTTTAGGTGTTGATTTCGGAACCCTCAAGACGGTCATTGCCGTCGCCAGAAATCGCGGTGTCGATGTGGTGCGTACCCCGACCTCTGCCCCTCCCCCGCCAAAAAAACAAGCAGAGATTTTGCGACAGAACAACGACGACTAACGAACGAATCTAGATTTCCAATGAAGTCTCCAACCGCGCCACGCCGTACGTCCAAACCGATAACTCCCAGTCATTCGAAATGATGATGCAGTTAGACTAACTGTTATCCATAGGTCTGTCGTTGGATTCGGCCCCAAGTCGCGATACCTCGGCGAGAGCGCCAAGACGCAAGAAATCTCCAACCTCAAGAACACTGTCGGTTCCATCAAGCGTCTTGCCGGACGCGCTGCCAGCGACCCCGATGCCCAGCTCGAGCAGCAGTACATTACCGCTCCCCTCGTCGATGTCAACGGCCAGGTCGGTGTCGAGGTCTCGTACCTTGGCAAGAAGGAGAAGTTCTCCAACACCCAGCTGATCTCCATGTACCTCAGCAAGATCAAGCAAACAACACAGGCTGAGCTGAAGCTTCCCGTTTCCGACTTGGTCATGAGCGTTCCCGCCTGGTTCACCGACATCCAGCGCCGCGCCATCATCGATGCTGCCGAGATCGCTGGCCTGAAGCTCCTCCGTCTCATGAACGACACTACTGCCGCCGCTCTCGGCTGGGGTATCACCAAGCTCGATCTCCCCGCCCCCGAGGAGCAGCCCCGCCGTGTTGCCTTCATCGACATCGGCCACAGCAACTACACCTGCTCCGTTGTTGAGTTCAAGAAGGGCGAGCTGGCCGTCAAGGGTACCGCCTTCGACCGCCACTTTGGTGGCCGTGACTTCGACAAGGCTCTCGTCGAGCACTTGGGCAAGGAGTTCAACGGAAAGTACAAGATTGACATCCACTCCAACGGCCGTGCCATGGCCCGCACCATCGCTGCCGCCGAGAAGTGCAAGAAGATCCTGTCTGCCAACCAGCAGGCCCCCGTCAACATCGAGTCCATCATGAACGATGTTGATGTTTCCGCCATGATCACACGCCAGGAGTTCGAGGCCCTCGTTGAGCCTCTGCTGCAGCGCGTCCACGTTCCCCTCGAGCAGGCTCTTGCCGAGGCCAAGTTGACCAAGGATGACATCGACGTCATTGAGGTCATTGGTGGTGGCAGCCGTGTTCCCGCCCTCAAGGAGCGCATCCAGGCTTTCTTCGGAAAGACCCTGTCTTTCACCCTGAACCAGGACGAGGCCGTTGCCCGTGGCGCTGCCTTCAGCTGCGCTATTCTGTCCCCCGTTTTCCGTGTCCGCGACTTCACTGTCCAGGACATCATGAGCTACCCCATTGAGTTCGCCTGGGAGAAGGCTCCCGATATTCCCGACGAGGACACCAGCCTGACTGTCTTCAACCGCGGCAACGTTCTGCCCTCTACCAAGATTCTTACCTTCTACCGCAAGCAGCCCTTTGATCTTGAGGCCCGCTACGCCAAGCCCCAAGATCTCCCCGGAAAGATCAACCCGTGGATTGGTCGCTTCTCTGTCAAGGGTGTTAAGGCCGACGGCAAGGACGACTTCATGATCTGCAAGCTGAAGGCTCGTGTGAACATCCACGGCGTTCTTAACGTTGAGAGCGGCTACTACGTTGAGGACCAGGAGGTCGAGGAGGAAGTTAAGGAGGATGAGAAGGATGGCGACAAGAAGGACCCTGATGTGAGTGTTGCGGCGTCTCGTTACGAAACTTTTTCTTCTGCCGACGTGCTTGATAGCTTAGAGTCGCCGCTCAAACGACGGCGCCAAGCTTTCGACACGGAGTTGCGATCTGTTCCGCCCCCGTCTTACGCGTATGTCGAGGATGAAGAGATCCCGAAGCTAACAATCTATCCACCTCAAAAGGCCATGGAGACTGACAACAAGGAGGACGCTCCCAAGAAGACCCGCAAGGTCAAGAAGCAAGTCCGCAAGGGCGACCTTCCCATCGTCAGCGGCACAGCCTCCCTGTCCGACTCAGCAAGAACCGCCCTTTTCGAGAAGGAGTCTGCCATGGTTATGGAGGACAAGCTTGTCGCCGATACCGAGGAGAAGAAGAACGAGCTCGAGACCTTCATCTACGACCTTCGCAACAAGCTTGACGACCAGTATGCCGACTTTGCTAGCGACGAGGAGAAGACCAAGATCAAGGAGAAGCTCGAGGCGAGCGAGGTAAGACATTTCCTGGAATGCATACGACTTGAGAGCGGCTGCTAACCTATATTTCAGGACTGGCTCTACGATGAGGGCGAGGACGCCACCAAGGCTGTCTACGTTGCCAAGATTGACGAGATCCGCGCCATGGCCGGACCTATCGTCCAGCGCCACTTCGAGAAGGTCGAGGAGGAGCGTCGCATCGTGCAGGAGAGAGTTGAGGCTGAGAAAGCCGCCAAGAAAGCCGAAGAGGAGGCTCGCAAAGCTGCCGAAGCTGAGAAGGCTCCTCCGGCGGCTAAGGATGAGGAGATGACCGATGCCGACGCAAAGGCTGACGCTGAGGCCGAGGGCACGAAATAGGATCCTGTGGACCCGACCAGTGTCTGAAACTTTGAAAAAAAGACAACAACAAAAGCGAGAAGCAACGAAGATGATAGAATAGACCCTTAGTTATGGTTTCTTTCGGGTTGGCATAGGGTTATCAGGCTAGAGCAGCTTCGACGGTTATCATGGAATGAGAGAAATGACTTGAATTTGACAATGACCGAGGCCTCTTTTCCATACACACGTCAAATAAGAGCTGTACTTAATCAAGGTATTGATCTACTGCAGTGTCTTCCTCAACAGCTGTGACTCGAATTTGTGCAAGTACGGCGATGTCCCCTCGAGATATTCCCTCGAGAAGAATATAGACTACAGCACATAAGGTACTACTTTCTCGCCAATCTCACCCTCTTCTTGAACCCATGCGCAATGCATCGTTTGGCCACCATGCTACATACACTCATTCAACACTTCAAGAAGCCAGAGGCCCGAGGCGTTTAAGACAAGTCCGAAATTCTAGACGAATATCTCTTTTAAATTCTTTTTTGCCTACAGCTTGCGATCTTTTTTGATTTGGAGAATGACCATGGAAATAAACATATGCTTTTGGAGGGGTGATAAACCACCTTGTAGACAGAAAATCCACATACATCACTTCTCTGGGGGGAAAAAAAAAGAACCCTTCTCATGTCCATCCCTTCATGCAGCCAAATAACCCACTTCCTATACCATTCAACCTTTCCATATTTTTTCACCTCCAGACTCCCTGTCTCCCTCGTCATGTAGCTAAACAAGACAGAAAAGACAGGTACATGGGAGTAGTAGATACTGCGCAATCAGTGAATGTCGAAGAGGGGCTTGAGCTTGATGATGAGCTGCCACTCGTCGTTGGAGACGTCCTTGCGGTAGAACTCCTTGAGGGTGTTGATACTGGCGCGCGAGATGAGACTGTACAGCACGTCAGACTCCTCAAGGTGGCGACCGTACGTCGGCTGGTGGCCGCCCATTTCGATCTTGACGGCGACCGAGGGCTGTCCCTTTTTGCAGACGGGAATTTGCTTGTGGTCACGCTCGATAGATGTACTAAGAGCATGTTAGCTTTCGAAATTGTTCTTGTTCTTTTCTTCGTCAGAGACGAGACCGATGGGATCATGGACTTACACTCTACCCAAGTTGACGATTTCCTTGACACCTGTGACGGCGTTGGTCTTGACAGCTGCGATGGGCGTGTTGATCTTCAGTTGACCGTCAACGACGTCAACACCGACGACAATGGGCCCGGTCTTGTTGAAGACGGCAACCGTGTTGAGCACGCAGGGGAACACGGCCAACATCTTGGACTCTTCCTTCTTCTTCTCCAAGAGCTCCGCCATGTGCTTGGTGAAGGCATCAAACAAGTGGTAGATAATGTCTGCGGTGAAGATCTTGACGCCGACGTCGTCGGCGTACTGCTGCGCCTCCTTGTCGACCTTGACATCGAAGCAGAGCATGACGGCGTAGTCGGCCGCCTTCTCCAACATGATACCGGCTTGCATGACATCGCGCTTGTACACCGGGCCGATACCGACGTTGGCGACGGGAATCTTGCAGTCCTTGAGGAAATCAAGCAGGGCCTCGAGGGAACCGAGGGTGGACGCCTGGACACTGACACCACGACCGGTCTTCTCGACACGGCTGAAGAGAGTGGCCAAATCAGACTCGACCTCGTCGATGATGTCGTCCTCGTCATCGTCGGGGCCGACGACCATCATGCGGGAACCGGCAATAGCACCCTCGAGACCAGGGGCACTGATCTTGACACCCAGGGCGGCCTTGACCTCCTTGTTGTGCACGTAGGCGGACTTGAGACGCAGCTCACGCATCGGTGCGGGCGTCAACAACGCACGAATGTTTGTGGTGATGGCACCTTCCACACCACACAACACTATCCTGTCACCCTCGCGCAGGATACCGTTAGACAGGACAACGTCGACAGTCATACCGAAACCTTCAATGGCCTTCACCTCGAGAACAGTAGCCTGAACCTCGGAAAGGTACATCAGGGCTCCGACCATGCGCTCTTGGGTGAGCTGGACAATGAGCTTCAGCATGTCGGGGATACCTTCTCCGGTGTGGGCGGAAGTCGGGATGAGCGACACGTTCCTGGCCATGGACTTGTTCTCGTAGAAGAGCTCCGCGTTGAAACCCTGCTCGGCGAAGGCGACCTTGGTCTGCTCCAGACGGTTCTTGAACTCGTTCTGGACACCCTTGGGCTGCAACGCCAAAGACTCCTGGAAGCCGTTGTTATCTACCTTCTTCCAGCCGTACAGACGATCAATCTTGTTCAGGGCAACGACGAAAGGAGTCTTCCTGTCGCGGAGCATCCTCATGGACTCCAGAGTCTGGGGCTCGAGACCGTGCATGATATCGACGACGAGAATTGCAATGTTGCAAAGAGAAGAACCACGAGAGCGCAGGTTGGAGAAGGACTCGTGGCCAGGGGTATCGATGACCAACAGACCGGGGACCTTGAAGTCGAAGGCGCCGTCAGGGTTGACGACGGCGGTCTTCGCCTTGATGGCATCGACGGGGAAGTAGGTGGCACCAATCTGTTGAGTGATACCACCGGCTTCGCCCTCCTGGACGTTAGTTTGCCGAATCTTGTCGAGAAGCTTCGTCTTTCCGGTATCGACGTGACCCAGAATACAGCAAATGGGAGAACGGAGGTTGTCCTTGGATCTGGCAGCCAACGCGGCCTGGTGAGCCTTCTCACGGCGCTCCGCGGCCTCCTTCTTGCGTTGGAGTTCGGCTTGACGGGCCGCCGTCTCCTTCTCGTCCTCGGAGTCGGATTCAGATTCAGAGTCAGAGTCATCGTCCTCATCGTCGTCCTCCTCGTCAGCCTCCTCATCCTTCTTGTCGGCCTTGCCATTGGCGGCCTTCTTCTTCTCTGCCTCTTCGTCGCTGTCAGCATCCCAGCTGTCCTTGACGTCATCATCGTCAGAGGCAGCAGCTGCTTCCCAGTCGTCCTCCAGATCGCTTTCTGCCGCCTTTTTCTTGGCAGCAGCGGCAGCCTCCGCGTCGGCCTTCTCTTTGGCGGCCTTTTCCTCGGCCTCCTTGATGAGTCGTTCAGCTTCCTTCTTGGCGCGCTCTGCAGCCTCGGCTAGAGCCTTCTCCTCGTCGATCTGTGAACCAGTAAGTTAGCGACAGCGACTTCTTGAAATCCACACCGTCCTCGGAATTTACCTTTTCTTGCGCCTTGCTGCGGCCTCCCTTCTTCTTGTTGTCGTAAACAGCCTTCTTCTTCTCGCCCTCTTCGCCCGGGCCAACCTTGATGCCGGCAGCAAGCATCTGCTGGAGCTTCCGCTCGTTACGGGCCTTCTCCTCCTTCTGGGCCTTGGTCATGAACTTGCCCTCCTTCTTGAGCTGTTCAATCTTCTCCTTCTCTTTTTGCTTCTTGAGGGCCTTGGCCTCCTCTTTGCGCTTATTCTCTTCCTCCGCGGCCCGCTCCTCCTCCTCGATTCTCTTCTTCTCCTGCTCGGCGAATTCAGCGTCCTCCTGCTGTCTGCGGCGGAGCTCTTCTTGCTGCTTCTGGAGAGCGGCCAGGGCGGCAGGGATCTTCTTCTTCTTGCCACCCTTCTCTTCGGCCGGAGGGGGTGCGACGGCAGCGGCGGTGGGCGTGGGGGAGTCCTTCTTCTCGGGAGCTGCTGCCTTGGCGGGCTCTGCCTTGGTAGTAGCAGGCTTCTTCTTGGCGGCCTATGCATTTTGGGCGTGGTCAGATTGGTCGTACGGATAGAAAGAGCCATTGCAAACTCACGTTTTCCTTCTTGCGCTGCTTCTCTCTCTCCTTCTTCAGCTTCTCCTTCTCGGCCTTGGTGAGGACACGGCCGGAGTTCTCGTCATCGCCAGCTGGGGCAGCGGCCTGGGCCTGCTTTCCCTTGCCACCCTTGCCCTTCTTCTCCGGCAGGGCGAACTCGTCGTCCATGGTCGCCTCTTGAGGGGCCTTCTCGGCAAGACTGGGCGACGGGGCATCCTCCTGCTCGGGTTCGGCTACGGGCTCCTCGATGCCCTTCTTCTTTCTCTTCTCTCTGTTCTTGCGCAGAGTGGCCATGAGACCACTGACCTCCTCCTCCGGCTCACCCTCGGCTGGCTTTTCGGCATCAGCTGCGGGTTCGGCGGCGGCAGGAGCGATAGTCTCGCCGAGCTCATTCTCCCAGTCGTCGTTGGCGCGAGCCTTGTTGCCCTTCTTCTTGGGAGGCATCTTGACGGTATTCGACGTCGGTAGTCGTAGACAGGACTTGGGGGAAGTGTCTCTATGTAAGGACCGTGTCCAGTTTGTAGAATTAAATCAGGAAAGACCCTAAATAGTAGCCGATTGTGGGCGATCCAGCCAGTGAATGACGGCTAGAGGGACAGACGGAAATTCCCAAGGATGGGGTGGGGTTTCGATGATTGGTGGTGGCACACGAAAGAAAAGGGCTCTTTCAGCGATGCAAGAGATGAGGTGGCGAAACCGAGACCTGAATGCGATTCTGTCGGGGCCGACACGACATAATACGGACGATGCGATGCGTCTTGTCTGGGCTTCAACCGGGGGAAAGAGCGAAGGTCGTTGAGAGAACTGGCCAAAATCTCGAGCGGGAAAACTGGAGGGCAATTCACTGCGGGGCAAAGTTCGGGTTTTGGGGCAACGTCTTGGTCGTACGGTGCACTAGGTTGGAAGTTTGGTGGTGGGCAAAGCCGCAAAAGCCATGAATGTCATTTGTACCAGGGAGGATGTGACGGTCGTCTTTGCGGCGCCTCAGATTGTGCAGGTGCGTTTCCAGGGCCCAAGGCACCTATTTCGTACTTGACTTAGCTCAACTGAGGTCAGGTTGCTGGGCCTGCCTTCACCTGCTTAACCTGCGATCACTACACTATTTGATGACTGCTTTTTAGGCAAACTGTGACTAATCCCGAGCCTGCCTGGATAGTCTCTCTTGGCGTACGTATGACTCTCTCGTATGTGAGCTCTACGGGATGCTACCGTTGACTGGACATAACATGGTGATATCTCGTCTTAACTCCAAGCCAAGTGAGGCCAACTCACAGCGAAAGAAAATGTAGGGCATCCGATAATAATTCGGTCACTGTGCGAACAAAATTCATCAAGGTGTCGTCCACTCACATTACGACGTTGTGCATACGCTAAACGCACCAAAGCTACCCATGTTAACCCCTCCTGCTCCACAATTATGTTTCTAAGTCAGGTCGTGAGAAAAAGTGGCAT